ACGTATATACAAGGTTTGAACAAAATCCATCTGTAAACAGCTGGGAAATGCTTGATTTGATGATTTTTAGCACAAAAATGGCCGCCATCAGCCATCTTAAATCAGATCGTGAAACAAATTGACGTGCATATGTATAATATCATGTGTGATGTATGTGTGAAGTTTGATTGTGATTGGTCCAGGCATTTCTAAGATACAGGTCCGGACGCACGCACAGATGCACGGAGGTCAAAACTGCGTCCGAACGGGGACTAATTAATATATACTCTACCCTCAAACAAATAAATTCATTATTTTCAAAAATATCAAATGACACTGTTGACTATTTTTATGTGCAAATACATGTAGTAAGTACAAATTCTACCCATACATACAGAGTAGTTTGCCAAAAAAGTAATACTGTATACAATGTTTGGGCCTGCAACACAGTATCACCATTGCCTTATGTGATTAATTATTTAAGATTTGATTTGGACAAACAAATGTGTAAAAACTAAAATAGCAAAGGATATATTTATAACTATTGTGGGGTTGAATTAACTTGTCTGAGATTCACAACAAATCATCAAAAAAAACAAGCAGCCTGTCGGCTGAGATAGCTCCGCTGTTAGCAATGCACATTGCAATTAAAGAACAGAAGATATTAGAAAATATTAGAACAATATGTATAGTATCAAAGCAACAGGACTTGCTGTTTTCAACAAGAATTCAAAAATATCACTTTTCACCAAAAATAATCATCAAAATTAGATAATTGAAGATATCACCACGAAATTAACAAATCTGAAAGAGGTCCACATGTAGTACCTATATATGTAATATAAAAGCAATCAGACTTGCGGTTTTTTAACAAGAAGTCAAAAATATCACTTTTTACCAAAAATGACAAAAATATTCACCAAAATTAGAGAATTGAAGATATCATTACAAAATGAACAAATCTGAGAGAGGGCCACATGTAGTACCTATATATGTAATATCAAAGCAATTGGACTTGCGGTTTTTAACAAGAAGTCGAAAATATCACTTTTTACTAAAAATGACAAAAGTATTCATCAAAATTAGAGAATTGAAGATATCATTACAAAATGAACAAATCTGAGAGAGGTCTACCCAAGGTACATATACACCAAGTATCAAAGCATTCAGGCTTGTAATTTTCAAGAAGAAGTCAAAAAAGTAAAACATTGACACAGACGACGACGGACAATCACTCATATGACAAGCTCCGCTCGACAAAGTCGACAGCGGAGCTAATCATTACAAAATAATGTTTGGACTAAAATGTTGCACATGCTGTCTTACCTTAACATGCATTCTATGATTACATCATTTTATTCTTAGAACTCGCTATCGTGACAATCACGATTATATAACATTGTTTGCATGCATGCAAGTATATGTAACTACACAGGTACCACAGATAAACAGAACAATTGTATAAAACACTGCTAACCTGTTATCCAGTTCCTCTGATGAAACCCTATCATGGCCGATAGATGTGGTCCATGCTGTCCTCTTTCTTTGTAGACTTCCTGCATCACCGCTTCTTATCTCAGCAGCTGGAGATAACGACAAAAATTTTTTTTTTATATAGACCGGGCTCATTGTATTCAGTCTGGAAATTGCTCTTTATACATGAAAATTTTTCTATGTACTTTGCTAACATAATATTAATAACATTTTATTTCAGCTCATAATTGAAAAGAATTTGTTGTTTTTCATCAATTTGCTACGTAAATTTCGTTGCTGTTCATATTACTTACATGACATTACAAAGTGGGTCTCATCTTCAATTTCCATAACAGTACATAACTCGCAAATTCTCCTGTGGATCAGATTTATGGGGTTTTGTGTGTCTACCCATTTAAATTTTAAGACAGTGATTTGCTGGGTCTGAATTTACTCATTGACAATTATTCTCTCATATTGATGATCTCAACCAGGTATTTTTACAGTCTAAATATTTTTTTGAAACCTCTGTATGTTCAGTTTAGTTATTTTTATTGTCATCATGGAGATTATTTTTCTAAAATAATTCAAAAGATGCTTTCATTTGTTTGTCTATTATTTGCAATAAGTAAAATGAGCTGTCAAAAACAAACTATATTATTCATCTAGTATATCTGTACAGTACTATGTGCATGTAGGCATCAGGAAGATAGATAGATAAACTTACTTGTGTATGTAGTGTTCTTGTTCTTGGGAGGAGTGCTTTCTACAGTGTAACTTTTCATCTTAGATGATCTGGTTCTATGGCAACCACTTTCCTCATCCTCAAGAATGATCCGCTCCCGCTCATTCCGACACATTTTAAGTTTCTCTGCCGAGGAAATAAAAGCAGTATAAATTAACAAAATAGAAAGAAGAACGTACAGAGGTATTACAAATTCAGTGTATCAATAGTGAATATGGCCAACTAAACAGGAAAAGTATTGTGAAGTAATTATTCATCTAATATGATTTATAAGTGTTGTTCTGAAAAATAACAACTTCTCTGATTTTTTGGTATGTGATAAAAAAACTGGGTGTCTTTTGATACAAGTATGACTATAGAGCCAGGATTGATAATCATGGCAGCTACGAGCATTATTATCCACAATCTGATGATATAGTGTGTGACCTCACTCTACAAACAAGTTATACCGGGTAACCTTGAATGATAAACTTCTATGAATAAATTTTCATAATGGTGGATATGCAATCTTAAACTTAACTAGATGGTTTTATCTCAGAATCTTACTTTTTCTGTCTTCATCATGTTCTTCGTACATTCTCTGAATCTGTTTTTGTGATTTTCCCAGGGGTATGTACTCATCTTCAAAATCTTCTAATGTCTTTTCTAAGAGTTCCAACGGCTGAAAAACACGAAAACAGAAATCTTTGCAATTACTTAGTGTTTTCAACAAGTTATCCTGTTGAGTTTGTTACCATGTGCATATAATGTATACTAAATATAGCCTCTCGAATATTTTCTGTGAAGATCACTTTTTCAGGGTTTTTTTAAGCTGTAAACTAGTGAAAATATTGTTAATATTATGACTGTACATCAGATAGTGATAGTCCACATCCCATCTGCAAATATAGATTAATATATTATACTTTAATATAGGGTGACAGAATATGACTCACTCTAGTGTCTACACACAACTAAAAAGTATAAAACAATAGTTTTGACTAACCTTGATTCCAAAAAAGGAGCATGCTTCAAGTGACCTAGGACTGGTTAATATATACCTGTTATTCTCTGCATCAGGGCTGTCAAAGTTATACAAATCTAACTTAGGTGTTCTGCTAAGTTTCTTGCTGTAATCGTCTACAGTTTTGTTATCTGCAATAGATAAGAAGAATACATTTTATAACACCAGTTTACCTAGTATAACTCAAAAAAAAAATCAGATATCATAGACTTCATCTTCTATAGGGTCTATGATATTAAATAAATAATGTATACATTATTTGGTCAATTCCTTTGGTGACTGATTGATTGTTGAGCTTGGTCTCATACAGCCAAAACAAAGTCAGCTTGGACGTTCAGTTGTGAGACATGACAAAATAAACAGTGCCAGCAATAGATTTCGAGTATGAAAGAACAAAATAAACGCAATCAAAGGCATCAACCATGTGCGTTGGAAATAAATAGAACACGTTGCGACGAGAAATCTCACCTGCATCTTTCACTCACGCAAACACACACACATGCTATTTCCGTATATTGAATACGTTGGTAACGGAAGGGAGAAGTTTAAATCTTTGTAATAACACAACTTGAAAGCAACAGTCTCACACTGAATATATGTTTATAAATTATCAAACTAAACAATCAATGAAGCGGACTGCGACAGTTAAGGCGAAAAGACAAGGCTAAGACGAAAAACATGTGACAGTACGATTAAGCTTGTCTACTACACGCCCAGGGACTATACGTTCAAGTATCCAACTTCACAGTACAAAACATGTTTACTATCAGCAATAATTTCTAGTACTGCCTGGATAATTGCGTATTATTAGTTGACATCAGACATATAACTGTACAGGATTTTTTTAACCATGTCTCAAATTTCCGAAAGAATATTCAAATAACTTGGGATGAATACGAATTGAATGTCCATCTTTTAAAAAATCAGCTAAACAGTTCACGACCACGATTATGGTGAATTGGCGAGTTATCAACGAAGACGACCGGACGTCTCCGGTCATGAGCTGGCTGGTTCGAATTTATCCACTTTTACAGAGATGAATATTGCGTTCGAGTTGAGTTACTAGTAATTACAAGCCTGATTTACATTTTTCTTGTGGTGTTTTTCGTCAATGTATTAAATATAAGTGCATTGGGAAATAGCATAATTATATTGCGTCAGTGAAAGAGGCTGGTGAGACTACGTGACAACGCGTTCTATTTACTACCAACGCGCGTGGTCGACGCCTCTGAATGCGTTTATTTTGTATTTTTATTTTCAAAATGTATCACTGGCTGCGTTTTTTTTGTTACGTCTCGCAACTGAACGTCCAAGCTGACCTTGTTTTGGCTGTAATAGTACAATTCTTGATCATTATGATTTTATGCCTGGCTTCTTACAAAATGCTAATCAATGTGCACAGATTGGAAATTATAATTCTCAGATCTTTTTGATGTATACATTTCTCCAGATATTGATCATTAAGACTATACACGTATGACAAGGGTGTCTAAATTTCAGAACCAAAACATTTCTCAGCAGTGAACGTAACCACCCATGTTTTTGACCAAGCAGATAATTTTTTTGAAATCTTTCTGCAATTCATGGCAACCAGTCGTAGATTTAATTGTACTGTGTAATTTAGTGTTGTCCACAAATGATTTGTTATAAGTAAACAAAAAACAAAGGCAACGTTATGTCTTTATTTATACCAGCTTACATACTTTTTTCATTTGAAAATATTTCACATGAACTTTCTCTAGAACAAATGTTTTTAGCATTTTAGTGATTTCATCTTAGTTTATTATTTTGTAATTCTTTGTTAGCATTTTGGTGATTTTATGTTAGTTTATTATTTATTATGTGTATTTTAGTGACTATTTCCCCCCCCCCCCCTAGGGAATGAGTAAGAGTCAATAAAGTTATTATTATTATTATTGCTGTGCCTATAGTGCATGTGATATTATCAATGAAAGACGTATCATTGATTGGTGGTAGCAATGGTAAAATACAACGGCATTGCATCTCATTGCGATAAGCTAGTTTACCTCTACGTCGTTTTCACCACTCTGACTAATCTGTTCTTACCTTCTTCAAAAAAATCATCAACATCATAATTTGGACCAGTCGTCATTCCTGTTGTAAACGCCATGTCTTATTCAAGTGCTGGTGTTTCCCTCAAAGCCCAAATATGCGGTGATTTAACAGTAACTGTCCAACAGCTCATAAAATGAAAACAAGTTAAGACTTGTACGATGTACAACGAACATCTAATATTATATAGGTGAGCTTGTCCGCCGGGGTCAAGCTGGGTCACTCAACTTTCTCAAGTGCGACTTTAAGAGATACTAAAACATTCAGCCTTTTCTTCCCAGTAAATCGTCTGTTGTAAGAGAAGAAACAACCTCTCGTCCACTGTGTGCTGGCATTCAACATGAACGGATCTCGTCAGTTGAATTGATTACAACGGGAGTCATGGAAACGAAATAGCATCAGATTCCAGCTGTTCTGACTTGTATTACCGTTCAAAAAATGTTGTCTTTGCCTCGTTTTCGCACAAATCTCGCAGACTGCGAGAGTTGTATGATCGTAAAAATAGTCGTCGATTTTTCTTAAAATACTTGATTGTGTGGACAGTATGATTAGCTGAACAACTGCTTTGGGGCTGCAATATTACCGCGAAGTTCACATTTCAAATCAAGTTTGCAAAATATGTTATTAAATCGTTAAAGATGGTTTCGAGATATCGCGAGATTATATTGACCTTTGACTGATCACTTGTTGACCCCCTGTGTTGATTCCCCGCACGTGTGTGTATGTATATGGTTATCTCTACGCAAGTTCATTGGATAGACCTTGACGTGATCTAGACAGGTGTGTATACTTTAACATAGATTTGTAAAATTCACTTCATTAAGCTGAGGTAAAAAGACTTATAAATGGCCGCAGTTGAGTAATAAATTGTCATAGGCATTGAAATAGTCTGTGTACATCATCTCTGTAAATAAGAAATCACTGTACCTGGGTATTATGTTTACTAAAATTACATATATATTTAGCAAAGTGGAGCCCAATATGACTGAATGGCGGCCATTTTAGTGATAAAGATTAGAAGAAATCATTTTTGATTGATATACTTAGAAGTCATAACACTGATATGATATTCATAATAACATTAATATCATATCTTCTATTTATTTAAAAATGATGTATAGTAATGTTATAGTAGATTACACATATAGTGATGGAAGCTAACTGTTAACACAATATTTAAATATTTAAGACATGATTAATTGAATGTCACAGCTGAACAGCCAATACCATGATGAACTGATTATAATACAAACAGAAGTAATAAGTCAAGGGAATCAGTAAATTCAATAATTTTTACCTCAAACAACATAAAAGGCTATGTGCCTTCAAACAAAACTCAACTAATTCTTATTAAAAATTGTCTATATTGTTTTTGTTATTTTTTTCGTAACTTTTTTTTATTGTAATGTAATCAAAATCCCAATGAAGATAAAAAATATTGTTTTATTTACTTATTGACTCTTACATAATCCCCAGAGGGAAAGAAAATGGTCACAAAGTAGAAGAAAAATAATATAAATACAATATACTGAATAACAAAATACAATCACTAAATTATTGAATAATACAAAATCACTAAAATACTAAATAATATGAGATTACTAAAATGACAGCAGGCATTAATTAAAATGTCAAGTAAGACCCTGCTTCCTGACTTCAAAGCTTTTACTTATGAACTGTGCTTAATTATTAGTACTTTGTATCTATTTTTTTTTCTCAGTTACTGCAGTCAGGAGAATATAGTGGTTTCAATCAAGACCCATGGGCCTTTAGTTGGTCTTTACTACAATGCCAGCAAATATGCAGTGGTCCCGGTTGGCAGTGCTTACTTTGTACAGGAGACTTCTACGAGGGGGAGATCAACTGAAGTACACTGACAAAGACTATTATAAAAATTATATCCGGAAAGAATTTAAGAAAAATATGAATCTAGCAAAAGAAACTGAAAAACAGAAGCAGTTTGAGGTTAGTACTATGACATTTCTTTCAATGATGATTGGAGTCTGACAAAAACTGAATTTATATATGAATGTGGATGCGAGATGGTGTTATTGTAATATCTGTGCAAACCTTGGACTTGTGACCGAGCAGTCCAGGTATTATTTATAAAATGTACATGCATATGTGCTAAATTACTATAATTACACTAAAATACTGCACTGCGCTGCTCTACGCTATGCTGCACTTTGCTTCGCTACACTACACTACTCTACACTACTATGCTACACTGCTCTGCGCTGCTCTACGCTGCGCTACACTACGCTACGCTACGCTACGCTACGCTACGCTACGCTACGCTGCGCTACACTACACTATGTTACGTTACACTACACTACACTATGCTACGCTACACTACACTATGCTACGTTACACTACACTACACTACACTACACTACACTACACTACACTACACTATGCTACACTACACTACACTACACTATGCTACGTTACACTACACTACACTATGCTACCCTACACTACGCTACGCTACGCTACACTACGCTACGCTACGCTACGCTACACTACACTACACTACACTACACTACACTACTGTCATCAATTTCGAAATTGTAATTTATGAACTAACAAATGTTTCTTCTTTCATTCCAGAAAGGAATTCATTTCATGGAATCAAAATTTGGTGGACTTCTATAAATGTTTGAGTTTGTAAAACAGACATTATTTTTTCGCTTATGAAAAATATCATTTATTCTCACAGTGCTATCTGATTTTGATGGCTTGAATATTTCATATACATTATTAGAATTATGTTTACAAATTTTAAATAGTATTTTGTGGTGGTATTCTCAGTCACTTTGTAATATATTTAACATTTCCAATAGTTTTGAAAATGTTCTGATTGTTCTTGCTTGGTATTCTATTCATTATTCAAAATCTATGTTTTTAATATATTAAACAGAACAAAAGAAATATATTTGTAGAAGTGTAATTTATGTAAAATAGCCAATTAAGAAAGAAATGTTGTATTTCAATGGGCAGCTAATTAAATCTTTACCTTATCTGTCATGATATTAAAACAGTATATGAAATTACCAGTCGCCCAAGTCCATCAAGTTTTCTGCCGTGACACAAAGTTATGTAATGTCGTCGCCTAGTTGTCTACCTACTTTTTGGAGCATGAGGTTATATGACGAGCATCAGTAAAATAATATGAGGTTATTGTGAGGATGCTGCAAAATTTGCACAAAGCAGAGTATCAACCGACGTGCAGGTTGATGTTAAATATGTTTCACTTAGTATTTTTTTCTTCATAAACAAATATTTGTCGCTTGCTGTTTCGTTTTAGATGGGAAACAGTGTCTGTCAACACTTATGTGGTAATAGTATAATATAAAACATCATGTGTGTTTGAAGTTGTATTAACAGTGGTTCTCATTGGCAGTACGAGTGGGCGTGTTATCCAATGTCCTCCTGCAACTTAATTATGTGATTCTGATAACTAAAAAAATAATTACCGTATGTGCAGTGACTCGAATACATACACAGTATGGTTTACTGTGGTTTTAAGTTCTTTGTTACATACCATTTGCTGGCACCTTAAATAATGCATCATTTTTATTTTTGGAATATAACCATATATCAGTATAAGTAAGATTGATGATTATTCCAGCACTTTTAATACAAAATGAGGGCACCAGATTTGATTCAAATATTGTCAGCCATCAATGATTATGACAAAAATAAGCTAGCTGATGAACTTTTTATTGATTTAAAATCGATCAGCAATATGAGGCTATTTATTGCAAGTTATGATGCCCTCAATGTCAATTGAGAGTGCAAGAATAAATACTAGAAATATGTGCAAGACAATTTTATTACTGGCAGTACCATCTCAGAAGAAGAAGGCTCAAAAAGCATGATAAAAGTGAGGTCACCAAATAGCTCTAAATTTCCAGAAACATAAAAATGAAGTGAAACCCCTCCCAAAAAAATCAGTCAGCAGCTCAATACTAAAACATTTGATACTTATTCCAAATGTAAGAATGAAATGCTGAATGATTCTTCACAGTTCTCATTTGAATCTTCAACAAAAAATTTATTAACGGAGCAGTCACATGACCACATGAAGGTTGTTCCGATTTTTGAATAGTGCAAATTTTGAAAATAATTAATGCGAATTTTACCTCCTGAAAACCTCTACTATATCCTTAATACAACTGAAACTATCACTGTGAAAGAATCAGCACTAAAGTATCAGTATTACTGTGCGTCAGTGTGAAGGAAACACAGCATTATTTACAGTTTTGCATTTAAGTACATATACTGTAAATTGCTTATATTGATTTGAACAGCACTGGCTATTAAAGTTGGTCCAACAACTTTTCATCAGACCACTATAACTTTTAAGTTTAAGTTTTAACCACTTCCTGAGTGGTTTGTTTGTATTACAGCAAAGTATGTACTATGGATGCCATCTTTACTACCTATTACCTTATTCACAAAGTATCAATAAAATATGTATGTCATAATATTTGGAATTCTGTCCATGTATTCCATGTGTTATCATGACCACAAACCCATTCCATTGATTTTTATAAATACACTGCATACATCAATCACAGTTGAATCCATCCAGCCAATCACTGAGCAAAGTGCTCAATGTCATTTGAATAATATGTTCCAATGTTATTCCATTGTCTATTTATAAAAGAGAAATTACAACGTGTGTAATTTGTCAACAAATTATTATCATATTTTTTGGCATTTATTACTACAATGAAGGATGTGAATGTTTTATTTACATATATTGTCTTATTGTGTTAAAGCCTCAAAAGTTGAGGTAGTAAAATGACCTTTCTGTCTATATTGGAGTCTGACAAAAACTGAATTTATATATGAATGTGGATGCAAGATGGTGTTATTGTAATATTTGTGCAAACCTTGGACTTGTGACTGAGCAGTCCAGGTATTTATCAAATGTACATGCATATGTGCTAAATTACTATAATTACACTACACTACCATAAATAGTTACTGATGAAGTTATGAACTCAACAGTGAAATTTTTTTTTTTTTAATATAATTTGGTTAATGGTAGTTTGTATTTTAGCAATAAAATTTGGTCACATCTGCATCTTTCAGGAAAATTGTAGTAGTTATTTTGAAATTCTTGAATTGCTGTTTCAAAGAAATGGAGCTCATTCGAGGTACGTGCGCCCTCATAAACTAACTTGCACAAGGCTTTCGTTTCTGTATAAAATGGCCTGTGATGTCCTCCCGAAGCACAGTTTCTAGTGGTGGACTGTATATTTTTAGTGCTAGATATGTTATGGATTGTGGATCGAGTGAACATTTGCCGACAACTAAGATAAACAATTCTATTTAAGTTTTGCTGTACACATATCGTAAATAATATCACTCGAGTACATAATTTAAATCGGACTTTCCAAAATGGCTGCTCCCGGATTTCGACATCTGACCGAACCTAACTACGGAAAACCTCCAAAATCTCAATCAAAGGTGAGTTGCGCTCATTAAAGATGGCTATCGATTTAAAGACATTATTTCGTGACCCAACTTAAGATGAAAATCAGATGAACTGATATGGTTGTGTCATGGCAAAAGACGTATGTGTACAGCATGCAGCTGATCTCAGTACACGTGTTTACTGAAACATGGGCCATGTGTTTAACAGTATTTACAATGCACATACTGGTACCACAGATACTGGGGGTTTATCGACAAAATTTTAAAATTGCACAAATTGATAGGAGCAGGTATACATTTTTAAAATTCATTAAAATTACAATAAACATATTCTAGAGGTATACGTACTGTAATAATAATACATAGGATCATGATGTTATAGTAATAATAATATGAGGATGTTATGAGGATACCTAAAAGTATGCGGGAGAATCAACCGTTGCGCAGCGGCGTACTGTCCGAGTGCATACTTTGTGGTATCCTCGTAATAACATTATTATTATCCATCTTTTCTTCCTAATGATACATCATGGGAATGCCGAAATCCAAAAAGTTTAGAACAGAATCAGCAAACTTTATTGTGTGGAGTCCTGTCAAACCCCGGTGGCAGCCATGTTTGTTTTTATTATTAGAGGTCCCTTACGCATGTAATAATTTCATATTTGGAATTCGCATTTCCAAATATGGTAGGATGAAAATACCCCGTAAAATACCGCAAAATTGCGCCTTGCTGTAACTTATGATGTCACGGTCACAGATGTATAATAATAATATTTATTTACTCATTAACACACCGACTTGAGAAAGTACAGCAGTAAGGTGTCAAAAACGTGATAAAGAAAAAAATTTAAGTTACATAAACTGCAAACTAGAAGGAAATAAAAAGATGATAAAATGTAACCAAGTACCAGATAATACTAAATTATGGAAAATAATCACTTGTGGATTGATAGGGATTGTTGTCTGACACTGAAGCTGTTCTGTATAAATTTGGCAACTGGAATAGCAGTTGGTGCTCATTAGAATTCTGAATTTTTTATCATATGACATGTTGACGAAATTGTGTTTGATTGTTTCTAATGTTCTGTAAGAGCATGCTTATTTTAATTTTGGCATTTATTTGTCTACTTTTTTATTATACTTTTCGTTTTTCTTAATGTTTTATAAATGATTTTTTATGATTCTTTATTATTCAATATTCATATTCATGTTTTTTTTTGAGAGGGGGGGGGGGTCTATTGCCCAAGAAAATTGGGGTGTAGTCTAATGTAGTGATAAAATGGTAATTTAAATATTAATTAAAGTGTGTGACTAAAAGGCATTTATAAATCATTTATTATAAGAACTTAGACTAATCAAATCCTCGTCAACATATTTTTCACCTGTCTATTGTTTGATACCTGTCTATTAACCTTTATAACAAACATTTATTTAAAATTGGTAACAATATCCTGAGCGCTTCAAAGGTTCAACACAATATCGAGAGTACCGGTAGCCATAGTAATTCCTGACAAGGTGTTAACTGTAAATGATTCATTACAAGGTAACAATGTATGTCTGTTTCAGGTTTTACAAGAACTTGTGAAGCCTCATATTGAGTCGTTCAATTTCATGCTGTCTGAAGGTTTGAATTTAGCCATCCAAGATATGCAGCCGGTAGAATTTGCACTGCCAAGTGGAGAAAAAGTGTCACTTTCATTTACAGTAAGTACATTATTTTGTTTTCAACTGTCATTGGGTCATTAAATTTTCATGCTGGCATTTTAATCTGCATCTTTTATTCATCTCAGGACGCATCAATTGGAGTTCCCACCGTAGCACAAGGAAACATACATGCATTATCATTAAAAGTCTACCCCACTGAGGTAAGTGACTGCTACATGTGTACTGCTCTGAATAGTTAAAGGGGAACCAATACTTTAAATAGGGGCAAGATGGCCACCGCAATTAGTATGCTAATCTGAACCCAGTCGCTCACGTGGCAGGAGCTCCGTGAAATGTGCCATTTACGATGTTTAGAGATCAAGCTGTGATTCCAGATACATTTTTACCGGGCATGAATACGTACGCTAGTGATTAGTCATTACACTCATCTGGTTGGGCTTTTGATGTATAAATGTCGATGTTTTCGGTCGAAACATGCCGCGACAAGTAAAAATCATGAGTTTAAAATGGCGGCTAATGTATGCAAAATGCCTGTCAATCACAGTTTGAGTAAGCGAGCATAATAATCATTCATTTACTTAGTGGTCAGAGGCGGAGTTAATTACCCATGAGCACTTGGTGCAATCCATGGGATTGAGCAGTTCCCCTGTAACTCGCATTGCAAGAGTTATAATAAAATAATGCCCATTGCAAATTTTAAAAATAAATTGCAGCTATTATAACTTTTAAAAATGCTCTGCAAATCTGATATTTTGCTGAATGAAAGATTCTATCAAATAAATGACTACAACATCGACTTCGCAGTAAGAATTGTTTCCATTAACTTTGTGTTTTTTTTTCTATCGTGTTAATTCCTACTTTGGGGGCCATTTTGGATTTGAAAATGGGAAAACTGCGTACAACTATGATCCATAATTTAAAAACTAGTTTAGGTGCCCCAAGAATTTAAAACATCACAATCACAAAATAAAAAGTTTCAGTGTTTACTGCTGCCCACTATAGTTGTATGCAATAATATTTTAACAAACTCGATGAAATAATTCAATGGTTAAAAAATTATTTTGAAATTCTGAAGTTGCATATTATAGAATGGTTTGGGATTTACTTCTTGCAAATTTTCACCTGACCTCATTTGAAAGTAATAATACATGTGGCTATCATCTATGTTAACGTTGTTCTCATAAATATGTGTTTTCTTCACAGTGTCGGCAGGGTGGAACAACATACAAAGCAAAAATCAGAGCCCATCTTTGCTGGAAATTGAATAATGAAGTGAAAGCCATAAAGGAAATTCTACTTGGGGAAGTTCCAATACTTGTCAAGGTAAGTATATATCAAATTATGTGGTACATGTATATAGAATAACATAGCTCATTGACACATCTAAAAACAAATACACACTTCATTGCTCAGAATCATCATCAGTTTTACAGTGAAATACATTAAAGGGTACAGTAAAAGTATCTGAGATAACTCGTTAAGTTCAATGATGCTTTATCATTTTGTTATCTTTTGAATCTCTTTCAGTCAAACAGTTGTAATTTGAATAAATTATCGCCATCGGAACTGATTAAGAAAAATGAAGAAGTGGAAGAGATGGGTGGATATTTTATTATCAATGGAATTGAAAAAGTCATTCGAATGATTGTACTTCCAAGACGAAACTTTGTGAGTTTATTTTCTCTAATTTACATCTTTATGGTGTGAAGTAAACTATTAGCGGGTTTCTAGTGCATGCGGTGCTCTTCTTGAATATCATAACAACTCTAAAATTCATTCAAAGTTGGGTCACGACATTCACTACAATAGTCCAAGAATAATCCCCACCTATGCACTATGCAAGCTACAAATCTAACATTCTGAGGAAATGATTATTACATGAGTTTCTCTTTTCTGGTGTAAACAAAATGGTGGATTTGATGATATACTCAGACAAATATTTTATAACACAGAAAATGACAATATAGATACAATATTGAGATAATATTCTTATAATATTGGGGTTTACTTTGAGAAATACGTTACCATGACACTATGAACAAAATTTGATGATGCAAATAATTAAAGAAATTTTTCGTAAACTGCAATAAATCATACTGTATGTGATTACGAAGCATGCTGTCATATTTTGAGTGTCCAATTGTCAAAAAATATTTTTCATCTTTGTGCTTTAAAATTTCCATGACAACCACACACTTATTCGGTTTCACCCTTTAACTCTATTTAACTAGCCCATGGCTCTTAACAGAGGCAGTTGGAAGAACCGAGGCAAGCTGTATACCGAGTATGGTGTGTCAATGAGATGCGTTAAACCAGACCAGACTGCCGTGGTAAGCCTATTTTTCATGGATTCAAATGAGTGTATAGGGTGATTAACCTTGGATAAGGAAAGCAGGTTTTCCTATTGAGTCCGAAATAGGTGTTCACCCAATTCAAAAACAAAAATAGTTCACTTTTCAACTACACTACCACTTTTGAGTTAATTGGCCGTATATCTCCATAAATTTGCATGATAGAAAAAGTCAGGTATTGCTTAATATGCAAACAATAAAAATGGTAATTTATGATTCAGAGTGAACAGCATATAAATAAACTGATAACTCAACTGATGGAGTTGACATATTCCTCTTCTTTATCCACAACTACATGTACACAAAAATATTTGTTGTCATGAGTGACAATTGTGTTTTTTTTCATTCTCAGAATATAATCCTACATTATCTCACCAATGGGACTGCTATGCTGTGTTTCTCCTACTCAAAAGAACAATTCTTTGTTCCAGTGGTGCTGATATTGAAAGTAAGTCTGTATAGTATACTGGTATAAATAACAATGTCAACAGTTACCTTTCATGTTCTATTTAATAATATCTGGTTAGTGGTAGTAGCACAAATGAGATGAGTGTACTGCACTCAGGTAGATCAACCACAGAGTGTTCACTCATCTCATGAAGTTTTTTCGGTAATAACATAATCCGATTTACTGGTACTGGCAGTGGCAAATTGCCTCTTTGGTTGATCAGTTGGACTTGAATCTAATTGAAAACAAAACAATTTTCTCTGATAAAAATGACACAAACATTTTCAGTTTTTTTTCGCTGTAATAATTTTGGGGAAGTGAGCCACATTTTTAACAATGATTAAAAATCTTTCACACATTAGTTATACAACTCACTGGAACAGAGTTGTCGGTTGTACGGTATCGGTACATAAGAGGTCGCTATGAATTTAATTTCTGTGGATGTTGAAGGATATATGCATGACTATGAAAGTTGCCAAATATGACTTGACATTAAACCACCAGCACTATCTGAACAGCATTGCCAGTTTCCCTGATTTTGCAAGAGTATGGAGACATTAAAACGTATTTTTGAGGAGCTGTGGTGAGGAATTCTGTTGATTGATGTACTTTGTAACATGTACATCGAGTGAAACACAAATTTTACTTCATAAATTATTGACACTTATTTAATATGGTTACACAATGTGATGTTAATTTTTTTCCGCTACATTTTAGGCATTGGTGGACACCACAGATCAGTTTATTTATGATGAATTGATGAGAGGGAAAGACAAAAATACCTACTACAAAGGGTAAGTGTTAAATATGTATTTAAGTCTGTACCGTCTATTTCATTTTTATGTACATTTCACGTCAGTAACTTCTATTGATATATTATCATCTCATTAGGTGCGTCACGTACATGTTACGCCAGATACAGACACAAGGATTGACATCACAGCGAAAAATTCTTGAGTATTTAGGTGAGATGTTCCGAGTGAAGTTAGGACTCGCTGACTGGTACACAGACAGACAGAATGGTGAATTTTTGATAAAACAGTGTATATGTGTTCATCTGACAAACAACATGGATAAATTTAACACACTAGTGTAAGTGGCATATCTAAATAAGCATTCATTTTCATTTTTTTTATAAATGTTTTCTTTTTACTTCAAGTTTCAAACCAAACCAGATATAAATTCAACGCGAGTTATGAAATCTTTAAAAAAAAACCTTTTTTTTCAAATATTTTATTATTGAGTTCAAGGTTTTTTTTGTGATTTCTAGATACATGGTGCGTAAGTTGTTTGCGTTTGCTAATGGTGAATGTGCTGCCGAGAATGCAGATAGTACGATGAACCAGGAAGTGTTAATGGGAGGTCACCTATATCTTATGTATCTTAAGGTAAGTAGAAAATATGTAATAAAGGTAGAAGCCTACTCATAATTGAAAATACACAAAATTTATATATTTTACAATAAATTGTAAGGCAATGTAAGGATATTGACTAAAAAATAGTTGGGGGTCACCAGCTTAATTTTGGAGAAAATGATGGCTATAATTTAGTGGATACATGTAGTTGCAATTTTGACAGTATCGAAATGATTTTACCATAGGTTCCTATGACTGAGATATGCCATATAGCCTGTAGCCTTGCAGCAAAAATTAGATATTGTTAATGATGGGGTACTTATTGTTGTTCTAAAATCATTTCAAAAATCTGCAGTGGGTTTTAGAAAAAGGTCAAAAAACTTCATTTTTCTTTAACATTATGTTTCATGGAATTGTTCTGAAAATAGCAATTTTCAAAAAATACTAGAACAAGTTTCCCCAAAAAAACATCACTGTAACACACAAAAGAATGCCATGGGACAATAGCTTCTTGATTTCACCAAATCAACACTTAAACACTGTCATGTGATTTATGATAAATTTTCTCAAAAATGACGTGTAAACTTTCTACCTTAATTATTCAAAACTTTGAAATAGGTCATTGTCAGTGACACATCTACCGGTAGTATTTCTTATTGTTGACATTCAATATGAACAAGATGGTTTGACTTTGTTCTCAATTTAAACACATCCATTTTAAGCATGTTTGAATATTGATTTGGAGCCCAAATATAAACATACAAATAACTAAGACAACATTTTATTAAAATTTTTTTTGTAACTGACTGTGAATATAACAAATATATAAAAATATATCTTTTGATCCTTTTCAGGAGAAAATGGTGGATTGGTTAGTATCTGTGAGATATTCAATTGAAAAACAAGCCAAGGTCAAAGGACAAAGCTTTGTCTTGAATTCAAGTAAGTTGTGGTTTGTATACTTCGTGGAATCCAATGATTTTAAATTGTGATATAAGTTGCAGTACAATTCTATACCAGTAAATATCTGTAAAATCTCTGCATATATCTTATCTGATTTATATTTTTCTAGCAACTCTGAATTCTGCAGTAGGTCGTACAAACTTATCCCACGCTGTGGAATATTTACTCAAAACAGGCAATCTGAACTCGAAGACTGGACTTGGACTCATGCAGGTTTGTGGCTTTGTTTCTGTCTTTATCATTTCTATCCTACAGATTAAGTCCTGTATTTATTATTGGACATGTACAGTGCCTTAGGGAATGTACTTCAGTTTGTGTTTGTTTTTTTTCAGACATTTTTTTTTCAAGGAAATTATGGTTATTTATAAGTACTGGATTAAACAAAAAGTCGCTGACCTAATAATTATGTCAAAATCTGTTGTTATGTAATACAAAAAATTGTGATAATTGTTTCAATACAGTTGCTGCACCAAATATACCATTGAGATAGAGTTGAAGATTCACATGTTATCACTTGACTGGATTTAATTTAACTGTACAAATTATTGACATCATGTATACATGTAATTTATTCTATATTGAATTGTAATACCTTATATTCACAGGCGACTGGTCTAACTGTGGTAGCTGACAAACTGAACTATGTCAGATATTTGTCTCATTTTCGTTGTATTCATAGAGGAGCATTTTTCTCCGAAATGCGAACCACGTCAGTACGCAGACTTCTTCCTGAAGCTTGGGGTAAGGCACATTTCTTGCATACAGCAGTCCAGAAGTATAGAATCTGTGATAACAAATTAATAGCCATTTTGGGTGTGATGTTTTGGTAGGACGTTTTGTTTTCCAGTTACTAGTATATGTCAATTTATATGATTTTATCAATAGTACCGTAATGTACAACTTTTTATCCCATGTCATCAAGCAGAATTCTGAGATGTGAAGAAATAATTTCACCATAAAAACAAGTGTAAAAAAAAATTTTGATCATTTTTCATGTAATTTCAGACTCTTCTGGCTCTGACATCATTCTGTGATCCCATTTTGTTTTTGTTCTGGGTATTCCAAAATAAAGAAAGAATGATGAACATGAAATATAATCTTCAATCCTGCTTGATTTAATAATAAAGTTTGTACAGCATAGAGTTATCTTGCCTCATTCACATGGTAATCTTTTTGCCTCCTCCCTCTTCATCAAATTTGTTTATTGTATTACATATGTAGTCTAAAATAGCATGCTTAGGTTTATTCAGTATGACGGTAATTTGGTTTAGAAAATATTGTGTATTCTCATTTGTTATGTAGGGTTTTTGTGTCCTGTGCATACCCCTGATGGCGCACCATGTGGTCTTCTCAATCATATGGCAGCTTTGTGCCAGGTTAGTGTCATACTCTTATACATGTATTCTAGTCTGCATCACTCTAAATGTTGTATTTCTCAATACACTATCATCTGCATTGAGGTCATCAAAGATTCAAAGGAAAAAGGCTGTGCTATACTAAAAGTTAGGAGTTCAAGTTACAGGCCATTACCCTTCTTAAGTTGTACTGTTTTGGCCAACCCTTGACCTGACCATGCCCACTTTACTCCAGTTTTGGGGGCACCAAAATTGTAACCTGACATTCATGAACACTCTTTTTGCATCTTTGAGTTTGTAACTCAAAGTTTGTTAACTTCACTTTGTAACTTGGAGTTATTAAAATGTTTGTGGTAAAAACAGGATAAAAGTGGGTGTGGTTAGGTCAAAGGTGGGTTTGGTTGGGTCGAAAGTAGATGTGCTCAGGTCAAAAAGTATAACTCAATAGTGGGTGTGGCCTATAACTCGAAGTCCTAACTCAAACATTAGCTGAACTCTATAAGAAAATGGTTATGTAAATTTGATATCCATATATGGTGATATGAGTTGAGGATTTTATTCAGTGCAAGTATCATCGGTCATCCATCATTACTAGAACATATAAACCAAAACCCTGAGATGAGTTTCTAGCACTTTGACAAACTTGCTCATTTGCAATAGTAATACAGAAATGTATGCATATATGTCTTGAGAGTTGGTATCATCTCATAATTTATGTGATTTCAAATCAGATCTTCAGATATACATTTACAAATATCCTCCCATATTAGATTTATAATTTCAAATTACCATATGTATAATTTGGGATGGAGTAAAAGTGATTAAAATTTATCCTAAATTGTTAATTTACAATTAAAAGCTTCTAAAAATGAAACTGAAGTGTTTTGTCTCTGCATCATGGTTAGGTTGTAAATGATCAGCCTCAGGTATCTCACTTGTCTCGGCTACTGTGTAATCTTGGCATGACGCCAACAGATGGCCCATCACCGGGTGAACCTTCTGAATGCTATGATGTCCTGTTGGATGGCAGAGTGCTTGGGAAAGTTGACAAGGAAATGGCTGGTGAGCTGGGTAACAAGTTACGAATACTGAAAGTCAGAAAAGAACATAGAGTATGTATAATTATTTTACAGTTATTGTCGTAAAATATGTCTTATAATAACCTCCTGATATTAATGGAATACAGTATTTAACAGGCCCTTAATGACACCCATTAAACTACACACTTTATAATGATTAGATCCAGTATATCTCTATTGAATATATGTCAGAACAGTCTTGAATTACTTGCACAATATTTTAACGCTTCACAATATCAGTGAAGAAAAAGCAGTGGCCTCAAAATAAAAAATAAAAAACTTGGTGTCTGACCATTTCATTACAGGTACCTGAAATGTTAGAGGTTGTACTTGTTCCTATGACTGGTAAATGCAGTCAGTATCCCGGTTTATATCTGTTTTCATCAGTTGCGAGGCTAATGCGACCTGTTCTCAATCTTGCCACAAATACAACAGAGATGATTGGAACGTTTGAACAGGTATGAAATCTACTTAAAGGTGAATTTTGCATATTTGTATTTCTGTGTCTGTTGAGTCTATCGACTGTGAATGCAGGATTCCACATAAAATGATATGCATGCTGTTTTAGGATTGGCGTGACAAACTTGTAGTGATGAAGACAATTTAGAATTCTTGATATTTTGTCTAATGAAAGGTTCCAGCAAATAAATAAAAAATAAATTAAAAGAAGGTTGTACCCAAACTTGTTGCCATAGATACAAGGACTTTGTAATTTCCTCTTTTCTGGTTGCTGTTTTTAATAACGCAAAAAACATGAAAATACTAGTGCATCGTTCAGACTACTGTTCCCAGAAATATTTTGAAAAGTTAATTTATTGAAATTGTAGTCTTGTTTGAAGGTGATTGATTGACTTATGGCATTAACAGAAGATTGGTTATTGTTATTGATTATTGGTCACATGACTAATTGTTATTCATCTTGTCTACAGGTTTATATGAATATTGCTGTTACTGCATCTGAAGCGCATGAAGGGGTGAGTGTTACCATGGTTCCATTTTAAAAGTAATTCTTTTGTTTTCATTTAATGGAAGTCTTTTACAGTAACTTCCTATTAAAATGTGGATGCAAATTAAAACAAGAAGCTGTAATTATCTATTGGGCTGCATTCATTAAATTGTGGAAGTTTGTCTTTTTATTTACTATTTTTTGTGTCCCTGCTATCATTCCTAACATTTTTAGTTTATGGTGCTAATTGCAAGTGCATTGTGGGAACCAGTTATAAAAACCTAATCATATAATGAACAATCAACTCAAGGAATCAAAACCACAACATCCTGAGCATGTTAACCAGATTTTAGGAATACATTCAAATATTTTTCCTCTCAAGTGGTACATATATATACAGCATTCTAGTGAATGGAAATTTTGAGTTTATAAATGTTTTTTTTTATAAATAAACGGTAAACGCTTTTGATTTACCATGCATGTTCATTTCACTGTAGTGATGTGGCATTACTTTTTATTACAGTTGACTACCCACCTTGAATTAAGTGAAAGCGGTTTGCTGAGTGCAGTGGCAAGTTTAACGCCCTTTTCTGATTTCAACCAGAGCCCACGTAACATGTACCAATGTCAGGTTAGTTCAAAAAGCAAATGTCTGTCTATACAGAACCCAAGGCAATATGCTTCCTGCCTGCCTTTTGAATTGTTATTGCCATTTGAAAAAAATAAACTAAGTGTAATTATTATTTTATTTGACATGTAGCCAATTGATAAATTAACAAATAATTATATCATTTAAATTAAATTACAAACGTGTATACAAGTACATCTACATACATTACCCATGATGCATTGCAGAGAATCATAGATCATGTTTGTTGGCCTTGCATATTTATGTATTACCAGTTTGAAGGTGGATTATGGCTAATATTCTTTTTTTTTCCATTTTCTTATACAGATGGGTAAGCAGACTATGGGTACACCAGTACATACATATCTACACAGAACAGATAATAAACTGTATCGTTTACAGACACCGCAAAGTCCAATAGTTAGACCATGTTCATACGATACATATAATATTGATAACTATCCACTTGGTACCAATGCTGTCGTGGCGGTTATTTCTTATACGGTATGTAATATTTCTTGTTTGGACTCAACCATTGTGTATGCTGGGGGTGGCAATGTTAGGATTGGTGTGTGTTTTTTCTTCACATTGCGATACATCAGATTGTCATGACAACCAGACAGGAAACAATATTTACAATGTTATGCATTTATTGATTGAATTGCAGTCACAGGTTTCATGTACTTTACAAAAGATTTTGCGCTTCTATGAAAAAATGTTCAATAGAACTATGAGCAGATGTAATAATAAACTTAAGTGGTGTATTCAAATGAATGTTATTTGTATTATAGGGTTATGATATGGAAGACGCCATGATTCTAAACAAGTCATCATATGAAAGAGGGTTTGCCCATGGTACTATTTATAAAACTGAAGTGATTGATTTGAAAAAAATAAGTGGTGAAAAGGGAAAGTCAATATCGTTAATGTTTGGTGAGACATATTTCAATTTCATATTTATCATAAACTTGACTATATTTATAATAGTGTTTTTGGTTTTAATAATTTTCTTAACTTCTACTTAGTACTGAAATGTTTTTTATTTGTTGCAATATAACAAAATGAGTGAGATCTAATTGTTTTTTATTCTACCATTCATACGTAACATGCTAGTGCAAAGTAAATAAAGTGCTATAGTTTACAGTGTACTCAATAGTGAACTTATCCCTGATGTGACCATGCATAGATTACTTTAGGTCAGTTCGAATTTAAAATTGATGTTAAAAGTCCAATACAGGTGTTTAATAGTGCTAGAATTTGTGGAGAAATGATTTTCTTTCTACAAACAGTTGTTGAAAATATTTACTCATTAAATTCCTTGTAAGCGATCTAAACTTAAGGTTGTTTGTTTGTAGGGTGTTTACCTGATGACAGAAGAACAGAGGGGCATCTAGATTTGGATGGTCTTCCACCAATAGGTGCTATTATTGAACCAGGAGATCCGTTGTGTGGGTTCGTATTGAAATGATATTGATTGTACTGGGTGGGTCATAGATGTTTGTCGTCAGTGCTCCCTAATCTCATGCTACCACACCCACACTTAAATGGTTTGTCCTACCTTGCTGCTGTCCAATAGGATGAGGGAGTATAGAGTATGAACATTATGAGTCATCAGGCATCTTTTTAGGATAAACTAACTGAACAAACGATAAGACAGTGATGTTCGTCTCAGTTCATAGATGTTATGGATTTGATTCTTGGAGCCAAAAGTTTACTCAGCAGTTTAAATCAGAGTACAGTCTGCCCTGCCTTCCAAAAACCAGATATTACCGTTAGCTTTGGAAGACAGATTCACACATGTTTATGTGTGAGTAAAGTATTGACAATATAAAATATGAAGAAAAAAAATTAAAAACAAGCAGCCTGTTGGCTGAGATAGCTCCGCTGTTAGCAATGCACATTTCAATAAAGAACAGAAGATATATTAGAAAATGAACAATATGTATAGTATCAAAGCAATTAGACTTGTGGTTTTTAACAAGAAGTCGAAAATATCGCTTTTTACTAAAAATGACAAAAGTATTCATCAAAATTAGAGAATTGAAGATATCATTACAAAATGAACAAATCTGAGAGAGATCTACCCAAGGTACATATACACCAAGTATCAAAGCATTCAGGCTTATAGTTTTCAAGAAGAAGTCAAAAAAGTAAAACATTGACAAATTAGAGAATTAAAGATATCACAAAATGAACAAATCTGAGAGAGGTTCACATATAGTGCCCTATATATGCAATATCAAAGCAATCGGACTTGACGTTTTTTACAAGAAGTCGAAAATATCACTTTTTACCAAAAATGACAAAAATATCATCACGAAATAAACAAATCTGATAGATCACATGTAGTACCAATATATGTATTATCAAAGCAATCTGACTTATTCACCAAAAATAGAGAAAGAACCATCCAAGGTACTTGCATATCAAATTTGAAAACATTCTGACTTGCGTTTTCGAAGAAAAAGTTGACGACGGATGGCAACGACAGATAATCAGTTATATGGACAGCTTCGCTGTGTCAACTTTGTTAGCTTATTTTGCTGGGTGAAATGTCCAATCAAATAAACGACAAAATGGTGGCCATTTTAGATTCGGAAATATGATATAAATTCTGGTTCCTAAGTCAAATCATTATAAAGAATTATTCAGCAAAGGAAATTTCTTTGTCTCACAAATATTGTTATAGTAATATTGTAATAGTGTGCTTTAACAAACTTATGATTTCTGTTTTCACTAGATATATCAATGTTGAAACCAACGTGGCGAATACTTTATCATTTAAACACCATGAGAGAGCTGTGGTGGACAATGTCAAGTTATGTGGTAATGACTTAGGCACTGCTGAATGTCAAAAAGTGTATATCTCCCTCAGAATTCAGGTTAGTATAAGGTCAAGGGTCAAACCAGCTTGTAAAGAAGCATTTTAGCACTATGTGTAGCTGTTGCTGGTCACCATAAAACATGTCTCGGTTATAATGGAATTTGTTTTACGTTTTTCACTGAACTACTCCAATTTAAGTATTACTCAACTTTAATTTTAAGGTATAATGCAGAATACTTTGTGGGAAATACTGTCAAATGTTTAATTTTCACTGCTAGAAATGTTTTTGATGGCATTCACAAAGATGGAATTTTGACAATTCAATAACACTTTTTGTTGTCAAGTCATTAGAGAAATTTTCATTACCATAAAATGTTAGCAATTTTCACAGACTAACAAAATTCACAAAAAATTGTGTCTCACAAAATGTCCCTCTATTTTGAAACTGACACATTTCAGGTTGATTACTCAGACTGAGAATACACTGTTTCAATTTGTCTGCCAGTGATCATAGGCTTACACAATGTATAAATGATATGTTGCGTTTATGTTAAATTAGATTAATTTCCAATTTCATTAAACATATCACACCACTGTTGTTTTTTACAGAGAAATCCTACCATTGGTGATAAATTTTCAAGTCGTCATGGCCAAAAAGGTGTTTGTAGTCAACTGTGGCCAGTAGAAAATATGCCGTTTTCTGAGAGTGGAATGACGCCTGATATTATATTCAACCCTCATGGATTTCCATCACGAATGACAATAGGTCAGTAACAGAACTTTTCGTATAAAGGAATGTTTATCCTGAGCTTTTCAATTTACATATTGAAATTATTCACTGGCTCACATTACATTTAAATTATCAGACAGATTTTCAGTGGTGATCCTATGTAACAGTGGGTGGAAAAATCATCTTGAAATCATCACTATGAATTTTCCTTGGAACATTGCAACATTTCTTGGAACATTGCAACATTTCTTGGAACATTGCAACATTTCTTGGAACATTGCAACATTTCTTAGAACATTGCAACATTCCTTGGAACATTGCAACATTATTGAAACATTGCAACATTTCTTGGAACATTTCAACATTCCTTGGAACATTGCAACATTTCTTGGAACATTTCAACATTCCTTGGAACATTGCAACATTTCTTGGAACATTTCAACATTCCTTGGAACATTGCAACATTCCTTGGAATATTGTGTATGTTTTGACTTTGGTACATTCAACGCCGACAAGGCCAAGTTCCTTGACACAACCATAATCACAATGGGTGCTGGATAGTAAAAACCATGTTAAGGGAATAATATACAGTACTGTAAGAAGTAAAAAATTCAAACAAATTGAAATGCATTATAATTTTAACAATTTTATATGACTAATTACTATTTAGGTATGATGATAGAGAGCATGGCTGGTAAATCAGGATCTTTACACGGCCTCAGTCATGATGCAACGCCATTTACTTTCTCTGAAGACAGACCTGCTATTGATTATTTTGGAAGAATGCTCCGAGAAGGTGAGTTTTCAGCCACTATCCACTATTTTCATGTGTCTGCTGAATATGATCTAGGATGGTAGGTGTATTAGCTACTTTGTTCCATTTTACTTCAAATCAGCTTTTGAACTAACACATATATGTGGTTAATTCAGGACTACCATGGTACAAACTGCATTATCTGACATACTCTTTGCTAAATGCCATGAAAAAGTCATTCAGTTTTAGTCTAATTACATTTTGATGATTGTATGCACCAAGTAGGTGTGTGTGAATTTTGAGTGTGTGTGAACATGAGTAGAGGTTGCATAGTATCAGACCCGAAAACCATTCATTTATTTAATTCATGAATGGCTCGTTATAGTGTTATACTTCAAGGAACTTGAATATTTACTACTACCACCAAGAGTGAGTGAGTAAGTGTACCTTACAATTCAACTTTAATATGTTTTTATCAATTTGCATGGTCAATTACTGCAGCTGGATACAATTATTATGGCAATGAACGCATGTACAGTGGTGTTGATGGCAGAGAATTGGAAGCTGATATATTTGTAGGCATTGTTTACTACCAAAGGCTCAGACACATGGTGGAGGACAAATTTCAAGTGAGTTAGGGGGTTTATTTTTCCCGTAATGTAGTAATTTGCATTGTTTGCTGGTTCATGCATATATACAGACTTCATCCTTTCTTCATCATTTTCATTTAATCTGAGATGCTTACCTGATTCCGTCACACTTCCTGTTTTAGTCACCTAGGACTCATATATTGACCTTCGTTTGTCTGTCTGTATCTTCAATGGAAGCCATTTTAAATCCAAAAATGCTTCAAAATCACTCATTTCCACCATTCCAGAAGTGGATCTTAGCCGTGTGTGGGCAGATTAGGTTCATGATTTTATTTCATATAATCTTTTGTTAATAGGTTCGTACAACAGGCCCCATTGATATTCTAACGCACCAACCTGTGAAGGGCAGGAAGCGAGCTGGCGGTATTAGGTTTGGTGAGATGGAAAGAGATGCATTGCTTTCACATGGTACATCATTTCTACTGCAGGATAGACTATTCCACTGTTCTGACAGCTCAACGGTAAACTTTGTGATTCATTGCAATTTATATGATTGGATGAAATAAATTGAAAGGCGATTGCATTTCCTGTGTATATTCAACATGTCTCTCATTATTTATAAGTTTGACGTCTCCTATTACCATAACTTTAGTTTAACTCAACTTATTACAATTGCGTAACAATTTCCTGACATTCATAGCAAACCAGTCGGCAAAAAAGCTGGCAATGTTTTTGTCTTGGTGTTCGGAACAATATGGCGATGACAGTAAATACACTGAGATACCATATTAGTTGAATTAGAAATACACTCTAATAGAAATGCTTGTGAACACGGCTTCAAAACACAGTTTTTGTTTTCAAGGAATTTTAAATGCAATAGATCATTTTTCCTTAACTGTGAGATCCTGTGTTATACATGAAATCATACGCAAAACCAGAACAAAGGTTATAGTGTCATCAAAACATTGTGTAAGATTCAACAAATGCAAAAGTGTTTTGGGGTATTTCCACATTTAATAATGTTCTGTACACATTTGATGTTGTTTATTTTGATACAGTTAGGATAACTCAATGCCATATTCCCTTCTGGTAGATTTGCATATCAACATTGAGATATAAAATTGAAATTCAAGTTCAAAATCAAATCATTCAATTTTTGCGGCGGATGTTTTGTGAATGACTTCACACAATATACAAGATCTTACAGTTGAACAAAAATCACCTATTTCAATAGCATTTGTCATGATTGCAAGATTTTTAAAATAAAACTTGTGGTACAGCGTCTGAAAAAAATTTAAAAATTAACAATATTTACAGATAATTCAATTCCAACTGCATTACTTTGCTAAATGTTTTGTTGCGAATCACTATTTAGTCTATTACCTTTAAAAAAAGAAATTTCAACTGCAGTTACGCTGTATAAATACGTCTGTCTCTAATATTTATTTATTTGTTTTATTTGAACATCAAGAATGAATAATCACATAATGCAATTCCAAGTGACTTCATTGACTTCAACAAACATACTTACTTGCCACAAACGCCCTCTAGTGTTAATCTGAGGAAAATATTTTGTCACCGAGCTGCAGGAAATTTGATATATTCCAGAAACTGTAGACAGAAACAGGATGCAAGAACTAGAAATAATTTGAGACTACATTGAAACAAACATTGCTATTTGTGGGGTTGATTACTTAAATAACTTAAATTAATGTATTTAATTAATTAATTAATAAATTAACCAAAATTATTAATACATAATTAATTATCAATTTCTATCACTTTGCCTTTCTCTTTAATTCAGACCCAGCTATGCACCAAATGTGGTAGTTTTCAAGGAATTATTCAACAGAAGAAGTCTGCACTCTTGGAAGGGAGTTCTGTCAATTCATCAGGACACTGGTATTGCCAGATGTGCAAGTCAGCAGAACACATACAGCTGTTAGCAGTGCCTTATGTTTTTAGATATCTACTCGCTGAATTAGCAGCTATGAGTATTAAAACAACTTTGCAAGTCAAATGATTTGTTTTTTGTTTTTTTCATATGAATATATAGAATATATACCACTGAAATATGATTCTTGTGTATTTTTACCAGTGTAAATTTGTGCTTAAAAGCAGATATTGTAAAGGGTGTCATCTACAGACAAGAATGAGTGAAAAGTATGAGTGAATTGTGAAAAGTAGCTACCGTTAGTACAAGTGAATTTACAAGATACTAATTCGTGTATGTAAGGTGCAGACTTTGTTTTTTTAAAGGACCTACATGTTGAAACTTCAAGAAACACTCATTTCTTATTAAACACTCATTTTTCACATAATTCTCGGTTGAAAAATAGAATCGTAATGTGTTCATTAAAGCTTTACACTTGGTTTTAGTTCATGAAACAAACAAAAAATCACCTCATATCAATGATATTCCTATGCAAACATTATTCCTTTCCAGCCAAATAATTTTTATTTTTTATATATCAAATTTATTTACCTTTCAGCCGTTCTGAGAATTATTCGGACAGTCAGTTAGCAAAATGACTTGCAACTTTGCAAAACACTTTGGTCTTTGCCCAATCTAGACTTGTCGGCGCCACTTGAGTGACGGGCGCGTGGTTTGGGATTACTATTTCATAGGGGTTGTCTGCTTGGTGAATTGTAAGTATTATCTAGCCGTGCGTTCACAGC